CATGGAAGCTGTTATTTCTATTGGCCTCTTTTTAAAAATATATTTGTAATTGATTTCTGAGAGGGAGAGGGAGAGATAGAAACATCAATGATGAGAGAGAATCATTGATTGGTTGCCCCCTGCAGGCCCCCTACTGGGCTCGAGACTGTAACCGGTAATGAACCATGACCTCCTGGTTCATACATCAATGTTCAACCACGGAGCCACTTTGGTCGGGCTACTGGCCTCTCTTTTAAACATCAATTTCCTTTACAATAAGACTTTCTTAAGCTTCAGGACTAGTAGTTAGAGTCTCTACCAACTTATTCTATAAGACATCTTGCACAAATCTTACATAGGAATAGTTATCACTAGCAATCACTAGGTTGCTCCCATTTCAACTTCTCTTGTGTTTTCTACCGATTGATCTTCTTGAAATAGAAGGATCACTTTCACAGAGAGAAAACTCTTAAGAAGTTGCCCTAGTTCATGTTTTCCCCCATTATTTAAGAATATGACCCTTCGCCAAAACCGGTTTGGCTCAGTGGATAGAGCGTCGGCCTGCGGACTGAAGGGTCCCGGGTTCCATTCCGGTCAAGGGCATGTGCCTGGGTTGCGGGCATATCCCCGGTGGGAGATGTGCAGGAGGCAGCTGATCGATGTTTCTCTCTCGTCGATGTTTGTCTCTCTCTCCCTTCCTCACTGTAAAAAATCAATAAAATATATTAAAAAAAAAAAGAAAAAAAAATATGACCCTTCTTACAACTCTAGGTTCCTATCCCATTCCCTTTAACTCTCCCATATTCTTGATGATTTCTCTCACTAGGATTTTAATTCAACAAGTCTGTTTTTTTGTTTCTCAAGGCTCAAGTCCCTGCTCTTTTCCTCTCAGCAAAGACTGCATGTACATTTATGGGGTGCCTGCCAGACCAGACATACCTTATAAATAATATGTACACTATATTTGTTGCCTATATGTTATTTACCAAAAAGCAATTATCTATACACAGCCTAACCCATGGTAGGTGTTCAGTTCTCTAAATATTAACGTTGAAAGCTTGGCTAGAGATTCTAATTGTTGAACACAGATGCTTATAAATCCTTGACTTTGGTATTACCCTCCTGTGTTTAAGAAAGGCAACCTCATTGCCAATGGAGCAGCTTTTGCAAACACTAGTGTACACTAGATAGGGACACTCATTTTGCCAGCCAGATGGGTCTATTCAGCCCTGGCTATCAATGGGATTTGTGCCACAACCAGACTGCTGCTTGTATTTATTTAATAAATGTATGCTGAATTGGACTGAGATAGCAACAAGCACCTTATTAACTAAGAATAGCTGAGAAGCCAACAGAGCAAATCCACTATTTTCAAGCCTCCCTGAACCTGATGTCTACCCCCTCCTCCTCCGCCCCCATATCTCAGTATTGACTTTACTCCCACACAAGGCGCATAATCATTTCCTTCAGCTACTGTTCTCTCCTGGTTAATTGCTTTTATGGAAAGGAGTGGGGTGGGGAGGGTGAGAGAAAGGAGGAAGATTTAAATTTAACAAGCTAATCAAAAGCTCTCTCTAGTCTCACTTCTTTTTTTTATTTCACTTCATTTCTTACCTCAACTTGCTCTGCCTATTAAGAATACCAGCTGAGCCCTGGCCAGTGTTGCTAAATGGTTAGCACACTCGCTCAATGCCGGCCTGCTACTTCTCCCTCATTAGCTCAGCTGGACAGGGAAAACTGTCTACAGTTATGTACCGCACGATGATGTCTCATTCAACTTCATGCATGGCTCCCATTATAATACAATGGAGCTGAAAAAATCCTTTCCCCTAACATTAAGGTCGTAATGTCTTAGTGTTTGTGGCAGTGCTGGTGTAAACCGACTGCACTGCCAGTTGCATATATAAAAGTATAGCACATACAGTTATGTACAGTACATAATACTTTGTAATGATAAACAACTGTTACTGGTTTATGTATTTACTACACTTTTTATTATTTTAGAGTAAAAATGTTTGCTGTAAGACAGTATTATGCTGGCAGCAGCCTCATAGATCTTATATTTACCATGTCTCTTGATTGCATCATTTTCTCTTGCAGTTGATTTACTCTTGTTTTGTTTTTTAAAGTAAATTTAGTGTAGCCTAAGTGTACAGTGTTTGTAAAGTCCACAGTAGTGTACACTAATGTCCTAGGCCTTTCCATTCACTCATCACTCACTGACACCCAGAGCAACTTCCAGTCCTGCAGGCTTCACTCACGGTAAGGTGCACCACTCTTTGTGTGTGTGTG